GGAAGTGATTAGTCATCATATTAATGCAGGAAGTGATCAGTCATCATATTAATGCAGGAATTGATTAGTCATCATATTAATGCAGGAAGTGATTATTCTTCATATTAATACAGGAAGTGATCAGTCATCATATTAATACAGGAAGTGATTACTCATCATATTAATACAGGAAGTGATCAGTCATCATATTAATGCAGGAAGTGATTAGTCATCATATTAATGCAGGAAGTGATTAGTCATCATATTAATGCAGGAAGTGATTAGTCATCATATTAATACAGGAAGTGATTACTCATCATATTAATGCAGGAAGTGATTAGTCATCATATTAATGCAGGAAGTGATCAGTCTGAGGGAAATCATCTTCCTTATTTCTCAGCTGGTTGAACTCTGTAGGACGAATTATTTAAATCTGCTCTCCTTTTAAAATTGTGAAATTCAGCCCTAATTATACAGAAATATCTTAATTTATTTTCTACTGAAAGGAGACTTCATTGAATTTCTTTTTTTTAAAGCTGGCTGATCTCCATTGATCAGTGCAGCTTCAGTGTCACATTTAATTTTATTTAGTAGTTGAACACATAGAAACTTTTTAAATTCTCAGGTTTTTAAAAAGTCAGCTCAACTGGGATAAGATGTTAAAAAGGTCCATAGTCTTCAAAAATGTTCTACAGATCCTTAAAACGGGTCAGATCAGGTCACAGTCAGGTTGAACTGAGTGCAGACGCAAGTAGAGTGTCACTTCCGGTTATCTCTTCAAAATAAGACATTTATTATTATTCTGTCTTTTATTTAAGCTTTATACGTGTCTTTAGTCCTGATGGTATCAAATGGTTGCTGAATGTAAAGCTTACTTCCGCGCTGCTTCACTGCGTTCTTCCTGGAAGTGTTTCCTTTAAACTTTGAAAGGAAGTAGTATTTCTTAGTTTCCGGTTTAGTCTTTTTGCTAATTTAAAATTAACTTGATGACTTCCGCCGGGTCGGTTTGATCAGGACTGACGCTGCTTCCATCTGTAAGTGTCTTTTATTGCCACACACCCATTAGTTGTCATTAGTTGTTACCAAAAGATGACAAAGATCTCTGCTGTGGTTTAATTAATGGCATGAACGGTGCTGCTAACTGCTGCTAGCTGTGGCTAACATTAGCCTGTCTGAGCGACTGGAGGAGGTGTTCAGGTTCTCCAGGAGCAGCAGGAGATCTGGACCCACAGCAGGAGATCTCGAACCACAGCAGGAGATCTCGAACCACAGCAGGAGATCTGGACCCACAGCCAGGGCAGCTCTACAGTGGGTCTATGCCAATTAAGTCCAAGTCATGTTCTATATCAGGCTTTTAAGCTCTAGATCTAAAGGGTCCTGAATGTTCTAGATCAGAGTTCTAAGCTCCTGATAAAAAAAAAAAGATCCTGAATGTTCTAGATCAGGGTTCTAAGTTCCAGATCTAAAGGGTCCTAAATGTTCTAGATCAGAGTTCTAAGCTCCAGATCTAAAGGGTCCTTAATGTTCTAGATCAGAGTTCTAAGCTCCTGATAAAAAAAAATCCTGAATATTCTAGATCAGGGTTCTAAGCTCCAGATCTAAAGGGTCCTGAATGTTCTAGATCAGGGTTCTAAGCTCCAGATCTAAAGTGTCCTGAATGTTCTAGATCAGAGTTCTAAGCTCTTGATCTAAAAAAAATCCTGAATGTTCTAGATCAGGGTTCTAAGCTCCAGATCTAAAGGGTCCTGAATGTTCTAGATCAGGGTTCTAAGCTCCAGATCTAAAGTGTCCTGAATGTTCTAAATCAGAGTTCTAAGCTCTTGATCTAAAAAAAAATCCTGAATATTCTAGATCAGGGTTCCAAGCTCCTGATCTAAAGAATCCTGAATGTTCTAGATCAGGCTTTTAAGCTCCAGATCTAAAGAATCCTAAATGTTCTAGATCAGGCTTTTAAGCTCCAGATCTAAAGAATCCTGAATGTTCTAGATCAGGCTTTTAAGCTCCTGATCTAAAGAATCCTGAATGTTCTAGATCAGGCTTTTAAGCTCCAGATCTAAAGAATCCTAAATGTTCTAGATCAGGCTTTTGAGCTCCAGATTTAAAGGGTCTAGTGGTGGACCTAGTGTTGGATCCAGTGGTGGATCCAGTGGTGGATCTAATGGTGAAATGCTGAGAGCTCAGCAGTTTTATTTCTGCAGAACTGCAGATCCTGCAGGCAGTACGCTGAGGAGAACCAGCAGAGCCAGCTGCAGCTCACAGCAGAGCTGATGGTGTCCTGTGTCATGTCATAGGTGAATCACCTGCTGACTGAGTGCTTCATCATGGAGGTCCAAAGAGGCAGCCTGGGCTCAGCTAGGATGGCGGCCCTGGCTGCAGGGCTGTCTGTTGGGGCCACCATCGGCTACGTTGTCTATTGCCACATCAGCAGCAGCAGTAAGTCTGTGTTGTTCTGCAACAAACGAATCAAAAGACAATAAAACCCAAACCATTGTTAATGGTCTAATCTGTGGATGATTTCTCTAACAGGGCAGGAGCCTGAAAAGGAGGAGTCTGAAATGATTCTTCCTCTAGAGGTCTACAGACACATTTCTAAAAGCCAGGCTACATTTTTGGACGTGGTGAGTAACCAGCATGGAGTTTTCCCCTGAGGAGTCCAGGCTGTGGTTCAGTGCCTTCAGTATCCTGTAGGAAGCATCTGATTTAGAGGCTTTATAGGTCTGATGTCCCTGATGTTCTTCAGCCTGGTCCATTTTATCCACGGTCAGCTGTAGGGTTGTTCATGTACTGATACTTATTTGGTACTGAGGTACTGCGGCGTTTAAAACTGTACTTTACCGTTTGGGCTGGGACCGGTATTTGCAGCACTGAGAGGATAATAATGGTGTCGTTTCTGTGCCACAAATCTAAATTTCTAAAACAATCCACTGGACTTTGTTTCCATGTTTGAAGACGTTTCGCTTCCCGTCCAGGAAGCTTTTTTAAATAAAAAACTTCTTCCCCAGACACAAACCATTACCAACATACAGGTCCTTCTCTAAATATTAGCATATTGTAAAAAAGTTAATTATTTTCCATAATGTAATGATAAAACTTGAACATTCATATATTTTAGATTTATTGCACACTAACTGAAATATTTCAGGTCTTTTATTGTCTTCATATGGATGATTTTGGCATACACCATTGATAACCCAGTAAACCAATTCCCTTTTTCTGCTTTTGTTTCAGGTGAGCCAGAGATCTGGAGCTTGTGTGAGGGTTTTGTCAGATTTGGAGAAGCCTGGCCATAAGGCAGTGGTGTGCTTTCAGCTGCAAGGCTCCAAGGAGCAGGTTCTGTTAGCTCGCTGTGTTCTGGAGAAGCTGATCACAGACTGTGAGCCGATGGTGGAGGTTTTAGAGGTTCCTCAGACTGCCTTTGGACGTGTTATAGGTACGATCATTTATAGAGTTGATTATTTGTCCTTAGGATCTTTTGGCCTTACCTGACGAAAGACTGGGTAGCCTGATTTCAATGGTCTAGAGTTAGATATTAGTCAGTATCTAATTGTTGTGACTCCTCTCTGAATATATTTATGTATTTTGATTAATGTAAAAATTCTGTCTATCTCATCTACAACTTCTTATCATCACACCCTAACAAAACCTTTTATTTTAAAGGAAAGGTTTCTTTGAAATTTAATTTAGCCAGACCATAGTACTCAAAAATCTTTAAAGCTAGATACGCATGATGGTTCTAGTGATATGTTAACTGTCTTTTGCATAAGAGGTAGATGTAGACCTTCTAGTGATAGGGGAAGGTCAACTATGGGGTGAAGAGGTAGATGTAGACCCTCTAGTGATAGGGTTAGGTCTTCTATGGGGTGAAGAGGTAGATGTAGACCCTCTAGTGATAGGGTGAGGTCATCTATGGGGTGAAGAGGTAGATGTAGACCCTCTAGTGATAGGGTTAGGTCATCTATGGGGTGAAGAGGTAGATGTAGACCCTCTAGTGATAGGGTGAGGTCATCTATGGGGTGAAGAGGTAGATGTAGGCCCTCTAGTGATAGGGTTAGGTCATCTATGGGGTGAAGAGGTAGATGTAGACCCTCTAGTGATAGGGTGAGGTCATCTATGGGGTGAAGAGGTAGATGTAGACCCTCTAGTGATATGGCGAGGTCATCTATGGGGTGAAGAGGTAGACGTAGACCCTCTAGTGATAGGGTGAGGTCATCTATGGGGTGAAGAGGTAGATGTAGACCCTCTAGTGATAGGGTGAGGTTATCTATGGGGTGAAGAGGTAGACGTAGACCCTCTAGTGATATGGCGAGGTCATCTATGGGGTGAAGAGGTAGATGTAGGCCCTCTGGTGATATGGTGAGTTTATCTAGGGGGTGAAGAGGTAGATGTAGACCTTCTAGTGATATGGCGAGGTCATCTATGGGATGAAGAGGTAGATGTAGACCCTCTAGTGATAGGGTGAGGTTATCTATGGGGTGAAGAGGTAGACGTAGACCCTCTAGTGATATGGCGAGGTCATCTATGGGATGAAGAGGTAGATGTAGACCCTCTAGTGATAGGGTGAGGTAATCTATGGGGTGAAGAGGTAGATGTAGACCCTCTAGTGATATGGCGAGGTCATCTATGGGATGAAGAGGTAGATGTAGACCCTCTAGTGATAGGGTGAGGTAATCTATGGGGTGAAGAGGTAGACGTAGACCCTCTAGTGATATGGCGAGGTCATCTATGGGATGAAGAGGTAGATGTAGACCCTCTAGTGATAGGGTTAGGTCATCTATGGGATGAAGAGGTAGATGTAGACCCTCTAGTGATAGGGTGAGGTAATCTATGGGGTGAAGAGGTAGATCCAGGCCCTCTGGTGATATGGTGAGTTTATCTAGGGGGTGAAGAGGTAGATGTAGACCTTCTAGTGATATGGCGAGGTTATCTATGGGGTGAAGAGGTAGATGTAGACCCTCTAGTGATATGGCGATTTCATCTATGGGATGACGAGGTAGACGTAGACCTTCTAGTTATATGGTGAGGTCATCTATGGGGTGAAGAGGTAGACGTAGACCCTCTAGTGATATGGCGATTTCATCTATGGGATGACGAGGTAGACGTAGACCTTCTAGTGATATGGTGAGGTTATCTATGGGGTGAAGAGGTAGATGTAGACCCTCTAGTGATATGGCGATTTCATCTATGGGATGACGAGGTAGACGTAGACCTTCTAGTGATATGGTGAGGTCATCTATGGGGTGAAGAGGTAGACGTAGACCCTCTAGTGATAGGGGGAGGTCATCTATGGGGTGAAGAGGTACGCCTAGAACCTCCATTGTTAGGGTGTGATCGCTTTTTGGCATGAAGAGCTAAACGTTGAACTTGTAGTTATGGGGTGTTGTTGCTCTGGCATGAACACATAGAACCTGATGTGATGGGGTGTCAGTGTTTTGGCGTGAACATTTAGAACCCCTGGTGTTGAGGGTGTTTATGCCTTTGGTATGACCTCATAGAACCTAATGTGATGGGCTGTCTTGGCCATTGGCACAAAGACAAAGATTTTCCAATGATTGGATTTGGTGACTTTCAGATTAATATGCTGTCCTTGACAATCACTTACTGTTTAGATCTGACCAAAACTGTTATTTCAAATAGGATTTTTGGGCAATTTGCTGTTAGAAGCTATATGTGTGTTACAGGACGTGGTGGTGAGTATATAAAACTAGTTACAAGTGCTACAGGAGCCAGCGTGGTTTGTTCCAGAGAGAAAAGGCCCAACTCTAGAGGAATGGGCAGTGTTACCATCAGAGGTACCAGACAGCAAGTGAAGCAGGCTAAGGTGAACCATAACTCATTTGGATTCAGCAAATATTTACCGTTTCATTTAGAGTTTGTCTGACCGCTCCTTTTGTGGCATGCTTGCAGGAGATGATTCTAGAAAGAGTCAGAGATGATGCAGTGGTGAGGACAAAGATCTCCCAATCATCTGCCCTTCGCAAGAAACGTGGAAATCCAGTGGTGATTCCAGAGGCTTGTAGCACAAAGCCTGAAGCTCCTTTTGGTGTGAACAATAATGGTCCTGTTTCCGACAAGAACGGATTTGTACATTCCAGTGAAGCCACAACTGAATATGTCTTTGACAAGATGAAGGAGCCAAAGGACACTGATGACCTGGAAGAGAAGAGCGTCTCCACTGAGTCCCTCTCTGAACTCTCTAAGTTTGAAAGTCTGTTCAATTTTCCGTTTTTACTAAGAAAAGTTTCTGTTTGATTCCAGTCATTTAATGCAGATTATTTACATATTTTTTACGGCAGTACCCAGCCCAGACCTGAGCTTCCAACCTGATGAACACTTAGAGGTTTATGTGTCAGCATCAGAAAACCCAAACCACTTCTGGATCCAGATCCTGGGTGTTCGCTCCCTCCAGCTAGACAAACTCACAGAGGAGATGAACAACTTCTACACAAATGACAACTCAACGGTGAGGAAAGTTGGTCAGGTTCTGATCGTGAGTGTGTGTAGATCAGTGGAGACAGTATGGTGTCTCATTGGTTTCATTTTGGACCTTACTTTGTGCACTGGTACCCCGTCACGTTGGAACTGGGAGGAACATCCCAAAACTGTTGCTAGAAAAAAATGATCCTTTTGTTCCAGTGTTTTTAATCCTCAATCCTCTGGATGAAAATAGTCATTAAATTTTAATCCAATTAAGTTATTTCATATTTGAAAGTTTTAGTTGACAAAAATTCAAAAGGAACCTCCTATAAATGTCAAAAAGTTACTACGAGACAATTAAATGCAGTTATAATCTTTTAAAAAACACATAGATATGAAAATATATTTATTATGCATGTCATCCTGCATTTAAACATATACATTTGACTAAAATTGATAAAAAGTTTCTTCAGCTGATAAAAAGCACAGCTGATATTTCTCTCCAGGATGGAGTCACAGCCAAACTGGAACAGACCAGATGAAGCTACTATGAGAAAAAGCAGAGAGAGCAGAATGTTAGAGATTGAACTAACAGATTCTGCAGAGTGGGAGAATAGAGATAGAATGAAGCAGAATGATGAAAAAGGGGTCCCTATGTCCTCCAGCAAGCTAAGCCTATAGCAGCATAACTATAGAGATGGCTCAGGACAGTAGCGTAGTAAAAATATAGAAAGAAAGAAGGCCAGATGCCCGACCATCAGGAAAATAACCTTTAAAAAAAAAGACCTGAGTTGAAATCGTCCTGATTCATCCTTTTAATCTGGGATCTCTATTCCAAGTGTCCAAAACCAAGACCAACATTTTTTACCTCTCAGACACTCATTCCCCATCCAACCTCTCCTTTAAGACTGCAACTGATGTTTGGATCCAGGCAGAGTCTCTTTAGTTGTCAATTCCTTCACTGTTACCAGGAGCCCCCTCTCTGCCATATCCTTAGTTGCCTCCTCTGCTGTGATGTAGACCCTTCTTTCTCCCTCAGAGAAGACACGTATTTTGGCCGGGAATGGTTTCTGGAACCTTATATTCCTCTCTCTCAACACTCTTTTGGCCTCTTTGGATTCCCTCTGTTTCTTTAGTGGAAACAGGAATAGATCCATACATCACATCATAGGACAGCTGCCTGTGGAGGAGACAGCAGTGTGCTTCCCCCCTGCCTCCGTTACCATGGCAGCAACTGTTGTAGTGCAACATGCTGAACTTGGCAGGATTTGCTTAATCCTGAAGTGTGACAAACCTCTCAATAAAACATAAACTAGGGGGTAAACTTTGCTGAACACTTTCTGTCCATCCGTAAATCACTGCAGTTTCTACAGTAACACATAAAACAAATAAAGTTGGAGCAACCTGCCTAGCTTAGCCTGATGTTAACGGGAAGTCACCTTAGTCGGAATATCAGAGCCTTACGGTGCTGCTTAGCTACTTTCTCACCTCGTTAATATTCACATTAACCACCGTCCGTCTGTCTGTACACAACATTTGCTTTTCTTTGGGAGGGATCACTATTTAAAGTTTATATTTGGGTCCTTCACTGGAATGTGTTGAGCTAATATTTACTGCAGTTTGATGATTGCTAGATTTCAGTGATAAATTTTGCAGCTCTACTCGTTGATAGCTGGTCTGAAAGAGGTCTCCATAGAGGTAGGGACCTCTGAGGCCCCCTCTTGCTTCCACTGGGGAACACCCACTGGTTCTGGACTCATTGGATCCTGTCGTGGTTCCATGTTGGGATTTACTGAGCTCCTCAGAGCTGTTGGTCCTTCCACAGAAACACCTGGAAAGGACCGGAACGGCATAGCTAACCCTAACCAGACCTGTGGCCCCAGACCTTCACATGTAAACACAGCTGGTGTCGTTGGTCTGCAGGAGCAGTGCATGGAGACCATTGTGGTTGGAGACATAGTGGCAGCTCCATATCGAGACAACAACAGCTGGAACAGGGCCAAGGTGCTGGGAGTCCTGGGCTCTGGACTGGTGGACCTTTACTATGTGGACTACGGGGACAACGGGGAGCTTTCTAGGGACCGCCTCCGTTCCCTCAGGTAGGAGACACCCACATGTTTGGGTTGATCCTTGTAAGGTGAAATGATTGGATGTGCTGCAGAATTTATAAGTTGAACGTTTTACTGATCTGTTGACAGTTTTTATATTCAGTAAACGCAGATACTTCACCTCAGCAGGCAGCTGCAGCCTCAGTACTTATTAACAGCTTCTTGCTTTTGCTGCATTAAAATTCCAGGAGTGACTTCCTCAGCCTACCGTTCCAAGCTATTGAGTGCAGCTTAGCAGGGGTGAGACCCAAAGGTAAAACATTCACTCTGATTATAACTGCATCAAGCAGATAGGGATGTCCCGATCTGATATTATATCGGCTTGTATATCAGATTATATCGACCTGCACCTATAATCTCCAATATTAGCATGCTGAACACTGCGCTTCAGTCTAAAGTATTTAATAATCCATGGGTCAGGTGTTCTCATACTATATTTGACTATTTTTCTCTGTTTGAGTAATATTAATTGATCAAGTCATTTTCCACACTGCAAATTAAGTAATACAATTCTGTATGATTTGTGCTTTTTGTACCAGGAAAATATCATTATCAGTCAATTTTCAAACAGTTGTATCTGGACATCCCTAAACACAGTCGCTGTTTTAGAAATGGAATATAGTTTCTTGACATCCTTTTGCTCAGTCTTTGGTGCAGCCTTCAATATTCAGACAAATGATTTCCCCTTTGTTGTTGGGTAGGACGATTTGGTAATCTTCACCGAACCAGAATGAGTCAGTGGTGTTGGTCTGATTTACTGTCATATGGCAAGAATGTACACGTCGTCTCACGCATCATCCGGGTCTGGGTCGAGGGGACAGCAGCCTCAGCAAAAACTTCTGACTTCCCCCTTCCCAGACACCTCCTCCAGCTCTACCGGGGGAAGCCTGAGATCCTCCCAGGCCAGCAGAGAGACATAGTCTCTCCAGCATGTCCTGGGTCGTACCCTGGGCCTCTTTCTGGTGGGAATTCTTGGAACACTTGGTCCAGGTGGCAGCCGAAAATGATGTGTGATCCTCGTCAGAGGACTCCTTTCGATGTGGAGGAAAAACTGCTCTACTCCGGACCCCTCCCGAACGACAGAAATTGTCACTCTCTCTCTAAGGGAGAGCCCAGCAACCCTGCAGAGAAAGTGCCGGTTCTTTCAGTCATGATCCAGATTTGATGACCATAGGTGAGGTTATGAATGTAGACTGACTGCTAGATCAGAGTTTTGCCTTCTTGCTCAGCTCTCTATACACCACAACAGGCCTTTTTCTGCTCTTGAACCAGAACCATTGCCTTGGACTTGGAGAAGCTGATTCTTCATCCTGTCCACTTTACGCTCTGAACTGCCCCTGTGCATGCTGTAGGTCTTGGCAGGCATGCGCCAGAAGAACCACGTTATCAGCAAAAAGCGCGGATGAAGTCCGCTAGTCCCCAAACCAACCCCCTGTGGTCCTTGGCTGCACCTCCAAATCCTGTCTATAAAGGTTATGAACTGGATCAGTGAGAGAGTATAGCATTGTCTAACATACACTGGGAACAATTCCAGCAAGATTGAGCAAACTTTTGCTCTGCTTGTACAGAGACCGGATTACCCCTATTTTAGGGCCCCCGATTCCGTACTCCTGAATCACTCCTAAGAAGGCACCACAAGGGACACGGTCGAATGCCTTCTACTGCTCCACATTTGGACTGGTTGGGCGAAACTCCCAAGCCGGCAGACCAAACCAGCGCATTCAGCTCGGCAAAGAACTCATGCTCTTCCTCAACACTGAAGACCTCAGACATTTTTCTTTCGTTGTTTCTTTCTTTGCACAGGTAAACAGCACATTTCTTCTTCTACGCTTGCATTATCGGCAGACCAGACGCTGAATGCGCACTTTCTTCCGGTTTGGTCTGCCGGCTTCCGTAGAATCGTGAGCGTGCATGGGGGCGCTATTAGGAAATCCTATACACTACTGTTTATGCTCTAAAAACATTCTAAATGACTTCGTTTCGAGTAAATTCTGGATGCTACCCACTCAGGACACTTGGATTACATTGGACGAGCAGTATGGAGGAATATTGACACGTTTTTGTGGACTTTTATGGACCTTTCTGTCTCGGGCGCCATGGACCTCCATTATTTGAATGTCAGCAGACAGCTAGAAGCCTCCCAGATCTCCAGATGCATTTGAGATATCAAAAAAGTACTCCAGAGTGTTGTTCAGCATGGAGGTGAGTAGAAAATGAAGGCTAATCATGTTTTGGGTGTACTATTCCTTTAACTGCCAGTGTCCCAATGGGATTTCGGGACTGTCGACAAGTCATGCATTGCAGACCTTACGGCCACAGCTACGGTTGGCGCATTGGCAGTACAGGTAGAGAACATGATCCACTTAGACACCATGTCTCCAGCCTCCTCCAGAATCTAGGAGTAGCTCTCCCAGAGAGGAGAGTTGAATACGTCCCTGACCGAGGGCTCCACCAGATGTTCTCAGCAGACCCTCACTATTTGTTTGGGCCTGCTGTGTCTATCTGGCTTCCTCCTCTTCCAGTACATCCAGCTTGCTAACCAGGTGGTGGTCAGTGGACAGCGCTGGCCCCCTCTTCGGCCTAGTGTCCAAGACATGTGGCCAGAGGTCAGAAGATATAACTACAAAGTGGATCATCAACCTGTCAACAATGGACGTGCTTATGCTCTAACATGATGTTCATTTTAAACAATCCATGACTTGCCAAGAAGTCCAATTATCAAACACCACTCGGTTTCAGAGCAGGGGTCTGTTCCTGCGGATCAAGGCCCTCCAGGAATCAATTTTGTTTCCCAAAAGGGCGTTGAAGTCCCCCAGGAGAACAGAAGGTTCTGTATAGAAATATTATGTTTAATTGAGGTGGGGATCTATCTTGTATTCCACTTTACAGTAGGCCCAGATGTTTCTTAGCGGATCTGGTTTGGGTCAGCCATATTCTATTAGGCCCAGATGTTTTTTAGCAGTTCTGGTTTGGGTCAGCCATATTCTATTAGGCCCAGATGTCTCTTAGCAGTTCTGGTTTGGGTCAGCCATATGTTCCAGCTGGTCTTTCTACCAACATTGTCTCTGCTGTCTCCTGAAGGGGACGTTTGGACTGAAGCAGCCCTGGATGCGTTTGAACAGCTGACCTACTGTGCTAACTGGACCCCTCTTCAGGCCAAACTCTGCAGTTACTCCCACTCAGATGTCTCGTCTTGGCCCAATGTCAAGCTGTACGACAACAGCAAAGGAAAGGTTAGCTGCTTTTGTTCTCTCGGCTCGTGGCTTTAGGTTAACCTTATGCTCCATATTAAACCAGTTAATGCCGTTGGATCAGTGTTCTCAAACATCTCTTTTGTTTGCAGTGATTTATTATCTTTTTTGTCCAATCTAGGTTTTGGATATTGGTGAGGAGCTCATTCGACTGGGCCATGCTGTCAGCATCCAGGACACTTTGAACGACAAGACAGAGGGGGACAATCTTGGCTGTCTGCAAAGGATGTTGGTGAGTCAGTAAAAGACGCTGTGGATTGGACTGATACGTGTCCAGAGTTTACCCGCCCTGGATCCACATCTTTTTATATGTTGGTTTTAAATGTGACTGTGTCTGTTGTCTTCTTGCAGGATGACGTAATAGGAGCATCTTCAGAGCTCAGTCTGTCTTGTATCAGTTTGTCAGGTGAGTGGAAAGACCAGGAGACACCATCCCATCGCAGCCGGCTTTCTGTTCATCTTGAGTTAGCATCCAGCACCAAACTATCTACTAGAATGGTTCTAACCATTCTTTGAAAGTTGGAAGCTAAGCAGGGTGTTGGTCTCAGTTTGCTGGACTCCAATTAGGTTTATTGTAAATGGTCTTACACTTTGTTTTTTTTGTATCAACTTGCTGACCCTTTTCCTCCTCTACTGCTGCTAAATCCCTTAGTAATGTGCTGCTTACACCTGGACAGGTATCTATTCAGTCCAGCAAACCTTCATCAGGCATTCAAACTTCATCTTCTCCTCATGGGTCTTGAATGGCTGTATCTAGGGACTGTCCTCCCAGGGTTCTCCTGTGCCTCTCTATGACCCTGGATTTTGTGCTTCCCATCACTTCTCCACCGATCTCCTCTGGCTTGGATACATCCGTCCTCCCCATCTTCTCTCTTGCTCTATCCAGATGTAGATCTCCCTCCTTGTGTAGATTTATTTGTTGTGGCTCCCCTTACAGCTGTCATATTAACAAGTCTTCATCCATAAACTTGACCTTGTTCTTTGCTCTCCTTATTTCTGGTCGGACAGCTGACTGCAGTGTGCTAGCACTCCTCTGCATCACATCACTATGAACTTTAGCCTTCAGACTACTGTCTGACTACAGCAAAACATCTCATTCAGGATCCCATTACTGATCAAGAGTTGGACTTTCTAGGTCTGACCGAAACAGCTCTACTTCTCGCAGCCATGTGACTCTGGTTGTAGAAGCGGTGATGAATGGAAATATTTTTCTGGTTCCTCACCTGTCATTATTGCCACATGTACTTTCCTCCTTAGCCACACAGGGATTTTCTCTTTGGTTATAAGGCTCTATTTTTGCAACATTCCGCCCTATTGTCACCCTGCAGGGCAGCTGAATTTTTCTCATGGACAATAAAAATCATCCACCTACAAAAGGGTTTGCTTCATGTCAATGTTCTAGGATTTTCTAGCACACAATAAAGGACACCATGGACTTCATCTGCTGTCTTGGTTTTAGTTCAGCCAATATTTCAGATGAGCAGTTCTCTGTCCCTGATATTTTTATCTCTCATTTGCTGCCTCACTTTGTCAGGATCGCCTTATCTTTAACGGAAATATCAAAAACATAAACCCAGCCAGCTGCTTCCACGTTATCAACAGTCTCCTGGTTCCTGATGACTCCTCTACCGCTGGCAGCCTCGTGGCTTGATTTATTACATTCCCCACTCCATTCTTTATTGCCTTGCCCCTATTCACTCACCCAATTAAACGATGTGGAAACAATCATCTGATCCTGAGAGTCAACAAAACAAGGAGATGATTGGAGATTTCAGAAGAAACAGTTGAATCCTGTTAACATCCTGGAAGAGGAAGTGGAGGAGGAGTAGAAATCCCTTGGTGCTCACCTGGACAACAACTCTCTGCGTTTAACCCCTCCCCTTGGGGAGCAGTGGGCTGCCATTGTGTGGCGCCCAGGGAGCAGTGTGGGGCTAAGGGTCTTGCTCAGAGACCCAGAGTGCAGGCTGTGGGGATCAAACCAGGGACTGCAACCTTCTCAGAACACAGAGCTCTGCTCAAACCACTAGGCCACCACTCCCCACATTTGAATTTCTGATCCTCTGTTGATCCCTGAAAGCAGAGCGGCGTCCGTTAGAAAAGCTTAAAAAAAAATTGGACGCTTCTTTGACGCTCTGACGTTCAGCTGCAAAACTTCAGATTTCTGAACTCCAGCATCAGATGCTCTGACAGACTGGGAGGAAGCTGGAGACACACCTTCTCCTTCCTGCCACACCTTTTCCTTCCTGTCACACCTTCTCCTTCCTGTCAAACCTTCTCCTTCCTGTCACACCTTCTCCTTCCTGTCACACCTTTTCCTTCCTGTCATACCTTTTCCTTCCTGTCACACCTTTTCCTTCCTGTATCACCTTCTTCTTCCTGTCACACCTTTTCCTTTCTGTCGAACCTTCTCCTTCCTGTCACACCTTCTCTTTCCTGTCACACCTTTTCCTTCCTGTCACACCTTCTCCTTCCTGTCAAACCTTCTCCTTCCTGTCACACCTTTTCCTTCCTGTCACACCTTTTCCTTCCTGTCACACCTTTTCCTTCCTGTATCACCTTCTTCTTCCTGTCACACCTTTTCCTTTCTGTCGAACCTTCTCCTTCCTGTCACACCTTCTCTTTCCTGTCACACCTTTTCCTTCCTGTCACACCTTTTCCTTCCTGTCACACCTTTTCCTTCCTGTCACACCTTTTCCTTCCTGTCACACCTTTTCCGTCCTGTATCACCTTCTTCTTCCTGTAGAACCTTCTCCTTCCTGTCACACCTTTTCCTTCCTGTCACACCTTCTTCTTCCTGTCACACCTTTTCCTTGCTGTCACACCTTTTCCTTCCTGTCACACCTTCTTCTTCCTGTCACACCTTCTCCTTCCTGTCACACCTTCTCCCTCCTATCACACCTTCTCCTTCCTGTCAAACCTTCTCCTTCCTGTCACACCTTCTCCTTCCTGTCACACCTTCTTCTTCCTGTCACACCTTCTCCTTCCTGTCACACCTTCTCCCTCCTATCACACCTTCTCCTTCCTGTCAAACCTTCTCCTTCCTGTCACACCTTCTCCTTCCTGTCAAACCTTCTCCTTCCTGTCACACCTTTTCCTTCCTGTCACACCTTTTCCTTCCTGTCACACCTTTTCCTTCCTGTATCACCTTCTTCTTCCTGTCACACATTTTCCTTCCTGTCACACCTTTTCCTTCCTGTCGAACCTTCTCCTTCCTGTCACACCTTTTCCTTCCTGTCGAACCTTCTCCTTCCTGTCACACCTTCTCCTTCCTGTCACACCCTCTCCTTCCTGTCACACCTTCTTCTTCCTGTCACACCTTTTCCTTGCTGTCACACCTTTTCCTTCCTGTCACACCTTCTTCTTCCTGTCACACCTTCTCCTTCCTGTCACACCTTCTCCCTCCTATCACACCTTCTCCTTCCTGTCAAACCTTCTCCTTCCTGTCACACCTTCTCCTTCCTGTCAAACCTTCTCCTTCCTGTCACACCTTTTCCTTCCTGTCACACCTTTTCCTTCCTGTCACACCTTCTCCTTCCTGTCAAACCTTCTCCTTCCTGTCACACCTTCTCCTTCCTGTCAAACCTTCTCCTTCCTGTCACACCTTTTCCTTCCTGTCACACCTTTTCCTTCCTGTCACACCTTTTCCTTCCTGTCACACCTTCTCCTTCCTGTCACACCTTTTCCTTCCTGCCACACCTTCTCCTTCCTGTCACACCTTCTCCTTCCTGTCACACCTTCTTCTTCTTCTTGTGGGGTTTTATGGCGGTTGGCAAACTTGTGAGATGTGCATTACCACCACCTACTGATATGGAGTAAAGCAAGGAAACAGGAAACGATTCACCCCAGGAAACAAAAAACCTGTGTAACTTAACCCAACATAATAAATAATCACATTTGCTCTAATAATTTTAATTTATCTTTAAGTAATTGTGAATCTGCCAGTTTCTGATGGTCCTATCGGTTTTCCCATCATGCTTTTAACCATTTCCCAGTTTAAACTTTCACTTCCAGATATTTTTTTGCAGCTTCACTATTATTTTGATTTTTTCATTTTTTCTTGTCTTCTGTGAACTACAATTGACAACTGTGAACTACAATTAGTGAATTTTCTTTAATTTTGGGGACATTTGCCATGTGTTGAACTGTTGGTTTGGTTTTTTTCTAACTGAGATGGGATCCTTTTTGCTGCTTCAGCGTAGGTTATTCCGAGCTCAAATTTAATTTTTTTAATTTCCTCAGACCTTTTGCTCACTTCACAGCCACGATAAGCAGCAGTATGTTCTACACCACAGTTACAGCATTTGATTTGAGTTTCTTTTCCACATTTTCCATATTCATGTTCTCCTGCACACCTTCCACATCGCTGTTTCCCTTTACAAACTGCTGCTATGTGTCCGGATTTTTGGCATTTGTAGCATCTCAAAGGTGGAGGATTGTAGATTTTAACATTATAGCTGATGTAACCAATGAATACTTTGCTGGGTAATTGCTCTTCCTCGAATTTAATTAACACGGATAAACTGTCAGATCTTTCTTCATTTCTTGTTGTTTTTAACCGTTTTACTTATTTTACTTTTGCACCACTGATGTTTTCTAGAATTTCTTTTTCAGACACTCTTAGAGGAACTCCTCCAATGACTCCCCTGCTGATCTTTTTGTTCTCCACTAAGCTGCCCTGAACTCTTATCCAGTCAATTTTGTTGATCCGAATGGCTTTACCATGCTGGGCGCTGTCTCTGCAGTTAATTAGCAGGTCTCTACTGTACAGGATTCTGGCACCTCTGACTTCTACTAGTTTATCTATGGTTTTGTTAAGTGAACCGGATTCCAATTTGCAAAAGAGTCTGCCTGATTAACGACTTTGAATATGACTTTGTAATCATTTTGTTTTGCTGTGGAAAGTATGGATTGATCATCACTTGAATGTTCTGAACTGGACTCCCACTCAACTGATCTCTGTTTTTTTTCTCTCGCTTTTTCTCAATTTTTGAGGCTACCCTCTTCCACTCTTCTTCATTATCAATATTTCCCTCTTCCATCCCACAAGAATCGCTTCCTGTTTCCTCACTACTCATGGCCCTGTACATTTCTCCACAAGCGACTTCGAAACACATGCCATGCACCAAACAACCATACGCCACCGCTGTGACTCGTCTCCGTTGCTGTAGCTCTCTCTCTCTCTCTCAACCACGTGCTCTCAAGCCTTAGCCACCCACTGCTCTCTTCCGGACCGTCACACCTTCTCCTTCCTGTCACCCCTTTTCCTTCCTGTTACACCTTCTCCTTAATTATCATTAATGATGTAAAGTTTATTATACTTTAATATTCACCTCCCTTCTTCTGAAACTATATCTTCTATTTCCTTTAATATTAAAAACATGTTGGACTTTAATTGCTGTGTTTTGTAGAATTATTGTTCTTTTGTTATTTCTAAATGCTTTAGTGTCCTTCCTGGTTTAACAGGTTTATAAATTAAGCGGAAAAGCTGATATCAGAGTGTAAGTTAATAATTAGGTGAAATGTGTGACATGTTTGTTTTAATCCCTCAGAAGCTGCTTCGGTCTCTGGCAGCGTGGATGATGGCGTAGAAGATGATTTGCTCTGAGACCAATCCCATCCATGGAGGAAATCCTTCTGAAGAAATGCACAACCTTCCTACCTGTTGACAGAACGATGACATCACTGTTCCTGTGTTCCTGTTTTCTAACTATGCAGTCATTTGCTTTGGTTCTGGTGGAATGAAGAGAAAGATGCATGTTTACCTTGGAAGAGCGTTCTTTGATTTGATGTTACATTGACTTATAAATAAATCTTTTTCTTTGAAGAGGTTTTATCTTCTTTATTTTTACTGCACACTTCAAAAGTAAACTCAATTATAACCATGATGCAATAAAACAGTCCTTCCTTCATAGGTTCATTCATTCGTTCCTTCACTCTGTTTTGTTTCTGCATCAGCAGCTGACCAATCACAGCAAAGCAGGTTACGTTCGCGCATGCGCATTTGCGTCTGAATAATTTGTTGATGTCCTGTTTACGAGGATTGATTTAGTTCTTGCTTTTCCACTCAGTCTGATCCACAGGTTGATTTCCAGCAGGAAGCCGAGCGGAGCTCCAGGTTTCCTGCATGAGGGGCTGATGGAAGACGCCCGGGATCTGGTGAGGAGGCTGGGAGACATTTCAGGCCTGAGCTCGCGCTCCTCCTTTGTTGTTAGCCTTCAGGCTAAGCTAATGCTAGCGATAGATCATCTGTCTGAAAAGCGCCTAAAAAGGTCCAGCGAGGAAAATCAAGCTGACAGAAGTTCACTTTAATTTCTGGGTTTTATTAAAATGCAACAGAAATCTGCGCTTTAAAGGATAAAACTGCTCAGGAAAAGGAATAATGGAGCTAATCGGCTAGCTAGCGCTTCACGGTAAACTAGCATCCAGGCTGCTTTAAATAATAATTTAATGTTTGTTTTTATTGCACTTTTTCTTTCCTAATTGATTAAACACGATTAGATACCAGAACATCTTTATCTCTGAGGTTTTGACATCCTGAACTAAAGTGATGAGGAAGTTAGCATCTCATGTACTTTCATTTTCATCTTGACAAGTGAAAAGCAGACTGAGTTCAATATTGCAATAAAATAAAAAATCTATGATCAGATCGATTATTTGCCAAAATGTAAGGCTGTTAAATATTTGGAGGATCTGAAAGTTTTGTCTTCTTTCTGATCCATTTAGAGGCTCAGTCCAGTTCAGTTCAAATTCAGTTTATTTCTATAGAGCCAATTCACATCATGTCATCTCAGGTCACTTTCCAGGTCACCAGATCATACAGTCAGATTGATTCAAAGTTTTCTATTTAAGGAAAACCAGCTGATTGCATCGACTCATTGACTCTTCAGCAATCCCTCACGCTAAGCATGCTTGTAGCGACAGTGGAGAGGAAAAACTCTTTGAACCGGAAGAAGCCTCCAGCAGAACCAGGCTCAGAGTGAGCGGCCATCTGCTGAGGCCGACTGGGGTTCAAGGAGACAGAAGCAGACATAGAAAAAGAAGCATAGATACAAAAGGCAACTGTCAACCAGCTCCACAGGCGGCCCCGTCCAGGAAACACACAGCCAGGCAGACGAGCTCCGAGCCAGCTCCCATGTCAGAGGATGAAGAGAGCACATCCAGTTAGTCACAGTCAGAGAAACAGGACTACACTGAAAAACAGACCGATCTCCAACATCTAGAAACAAAGGTGTTGATGGCAGCAGCACAGCTGATATTTCTCTCCAGGATGGAGTCATAGCCAAACAGGAACAATTCAATTCAGTTTATTTATATAGCGCCAAATTCACAACACATGTCATCTCAAGGCACTTTACAGTTCAACCAGATCATACAGTCAAATTGATTCAAAGTGCTCTAAGGAAAACCAGTTGATTGCATTGACTTAAATACAATCCCTCGCGGATATGAGATCAAAATGCTCCCTCTTTCTTCTTCTCCATATTTCTTGATTAATTTCAGGATAAACCACAAAAGATCAGAGATTTTTTGGGCAGATGCGTTGTGTTGACAGATGCCCTTATAAACACAGATTAGTGTGTCAGTCAGCTTGAAACAGTTCCTCTATCGGTCACATGACTTTCCTGAAACGATACAGGGTTTTGCTGTCAGAGCTCGACACATGCGCCAGCGCATCAGTGTTGTTGTACCCATCACTAATTATTAATTACATTATTAGTGTTTTTACTATTATTCTGTTGTAGAAATTTTCTAATAAAAAAAAATTATATGGTTGGTGAAAATAAGAAAAGGTTGTGAAGAAAGAGAACATTTATAGTGAGAATGAAAAAGTACAAAGAACATGTTTGTATATTAATGTATTAAATCAAGACTAGAATGTTAATCTAGGTTTTATAGATCAGCTGAACCGTTTCACTGGCAGAGATTCAATCAGAGGCAGTGCTTGTTATATCTGATATCTGCTCATTTACAACATCTGAGTTAATCAGGTCCTCCTGTGGATGGATGTTAAATGAGCAAAGTGCTAGTTGGAGGCTGATTATGGACTGGGATAACCCTAGTTCCTCTTCCAGTAGTTCCTATTCCTGTATTTCCTAGTTCCTGTATTTCCTTGTTCCTTTACTATTGGGTCTGTCAGTCGGACCCTGAAGGACCTTTCCAGGTGTGCAGAGGTCCTGCAGGGTCTCACTCTGGTTTCTATTGTTTTGTTGAAGGCTGAGCGCGCTGCACGTTCAGAGAGGAAGCGAAGGGACTCGTTCGGGATGTTCGATGGCTACGACAGCTGCAGCGAGGAGTCCACCAGCAGCTCCAGCTCGGAGGACAGTGAGGATGACGTGGTTCCCTCCATCCCAGCCAGCCTGCCCATCATCAAGAACAACGGACAGGTCTACACCTACCCTGATGGCAAAGCTGGGATGGGTCAGTACCAGAACCTGCTTCTTTCTGTCATAGATCAGCATGGAAACCAGTTTGATTGTTTTGGTTAAAAGAACATCTGAAATCTGAGCAGTTCTGCCTTTTGGACCCAATGAACCGGAACCAAGCAGCTTCTCGTCTGTCCTTCAGCTGCTCATTTCCTCCTTTGCATCACAGAGTTAAAGGTGAACGCCGTTTTTTTTTACATTGGGCCCTTGATTGTACGTTATTACATCATGACCTACTCACCCATATGAGTTTTGTCTCATTTTGAGCTGTTCTGATGATATTCCGTTATTCTGTTATTATTATTCGGTTATATCCAAGTAACGTCTTCCTATGGGCAACGACTTGAAGGCAGAAACTAAACTGTTCATAATTTAGTCTTTATGGTACGCCAGCATTCATAACATGTAGGCGAATCACTGTCCCCCAGACATCCACCGTTATATTTTTTATATTTACATCTTTTAAAAACAAAGCAGAGTGTGTATGACATCATGCGGAGTTGTGACAGGCAGCCCGGGCCACAGGCGGCTACACTCTACCCTTTCTATTCATTCGGCTAGCTAGTTCAGATTAGCTAGCTGCTAGCTAATCTGAATCGTTCAATTCCATCTGGAGAGCGAGATCATCTGTGGTAGTAGCACTAGACATCTTCCAGGCATGTGAGTAAAACTAGCAGTAGTTCATTGGACAGGATGAATGAATGGTAGCCGGCGCACAGGGATGATATCATAAACGTCCTGCTTTGTTTTTAAAAGATATAAATACAAAAAATATAACGGCAGTTGTCTGGGGGACAGTGATTCGCCTACATGTAATGAATCCTGGCGTACCATAAAGAATAAATTGTGAACAGTTTAGTTTGTGCCTTCAAGTCGTTGCCCATAGGAAGACGTTACTTGGATATAACCTAACAGAATATCTTCAGAACGGCTCCAAATGACACAAAACTCATATGGGTGAGTAGAACATGATGTAATAACGTAAAATCAAGGGCCCAATTTAAAAAAAAAAAACGGCGTTCCCCTTTAAAAGAGGATTCCATAGATTCGGTCCTGCTTTTTATTGAACTCAGTTTAGTTTGAACATTTGCTTTTTATCTAAATATTCCATTTATTTTATAAAGATGATTTTTCATGGTATTTCTTGGTTCTCTACTCTTGTTTCTGATCGTTGCAGCTACTTGTGAGATGTGTGGGATGATTGGCGTTCGAGATGCGTTTTATTCCAAAACCAAACGCTTCTGCAGCGTTTCCTGTTCCAGGAGCTATTCGTCCAACTCTAAGAAAGCCAGCATCCTGGCTCGGCTGCAGGTAACCCTGTTAGATGTAGCGCCGGCCGTAGGTTCCCGCTTCCTCCCACCTTTACTGATACTCACTTTCTTCTGTTTGTCAAGGGCAAGCCACCAACAAAGAAAGCTAAAGTCCTGCAGAAACAGCCTCTCATGGCAAAGCTGGCAGCTTATGCTCAGTACCAAGCCAGTCAACAGAACCAAGCCAAGGCCAAGTCTGGTGAGTCAGCAAACAGCGTTTCAGGTGTTTAAAGGTTAGCTGAGCTGTCATCTCACTGGAGATCTGCACCTCCTGCTTAGTGGTGCCGGCAGAGAGCTTCGACTGGGGGCGCTACATCTGCAGCAGTAACACGGCGGGAGCTCCTGTCAGCTGCTTCAAACACGTGAGTGGAAGCTGGACATGGTCTTCTTACAGAGGGGGGAACTCTGGGCTGAGTGTCCTGATTTCTCTCTACCTTCAGGCCCCCATGGGGACGTGCTGGGGAGACATAGAAGAAGGAGTTCGGATTGAAGTTCCAAACTCTGACACCAACCTCTCCACCAAGGTCTACTGGATAGCAGAGATCATAAAGCTGGCAGGTAAGGCAGCCAGGTGGTTAGCATGGATTACACGGCTAACCAGGAGGGTAATGACCCGTGACTAGGAATGACTTTTCATGAAGAATGATTAGAAAGCAAGTTGTAGAAGAGAAATGGTTTGAAATGTCTCAAATTAATCAAACTACAGAGAATTCATCCTAAAATCATTTTAAAAGTGGAACAGAACAAATCCCAATAAAATGCTGGACTTCAAAGTAATTTATCGCATGTCTTGCTCTGAGATCAGGTTAGGGCAGAACCTGGAGTCCTAATGATGTGACTCTGAGTCTATGGAACTGACCAATCACATACTGGATCTGTTGATTGAGCCAAAAGCTCTTATTGTCTTATCTGAATTTTTTTTTTTATGAACGTCTTAACCTGTGACTGTAGCGTTGACCCATTGGGGGGCAGACACCTGGATCCTTCTGAGTTATCAGGCTGGTTTCTCAGCATTAACTGTAGAATCGTAGCCATCAGAGAAGTCTTAGCGCCAAAATGCAGGATGATTAAAAAAACCTAGTTATTCTTATCTTCTCCATGCATCAGTAACAGACGGACACCCCTAGGTCAGCCCTTGTCCACCAATCATCAGAGCCTCTGGATATTCTAGTGGCTGCAGTAAGGTCAGCCATTTTTATCCAGCTGATGTCCTCTGGACGCTTTGGCCTTCTGGACATTTGGCCCTCTTGTCGCACAGCCATCTGGACGCTTTGGCCCTCTGGAAACTCGGCCCTCTGGATGCTTTGGCCCTCTGGAAACTCGGCCCTCTGGAAACTCGGCCCTCTGGAAACTCAGCCCTCTGGATGCTTTGGCCCTCTGGACGCATTGGCCCTCTGGACGCTTTGGTCTTCTGGACATTTGGCCCTCTTGTCGCACAGCCCTCTGGACGCTTTGGCCCTCTGGAAACTCGGCCCTCTGGATGCTTTGGCCCTCTGGAAACTCGGCCCTCTGGAAACTCGGCCCTCTGGAAACTCGGCCCTCTGGAAACTCAGCCCTCTGGATGCTTTGGCCCTCTGGACGCATTGGCCCTCTGGACGCTTTGGTCTTCTGGACATTTGGCCCTCTTGTCGCACAGCCCTCTGGACGCTTTGGCCCTCTGGAAACTCGGCCCTCTGGATGCTTTGGCCCTCTGGAAACTCGGCCCTCTGGAAACTCGGCCCTCTGGATGCTTTGGCCCTCTGGATGCTTTGGCCCTCTGGACACATTGGCCCTCTGGACACATTGGCCCTCTGGACGCTTTGGCCCTCTGGACACATTGGCCCTCTGGACACATTGGCCCTCTGGACGCTTTGGCCCTCTGGACACATTGGCCCTCTGGACGCCTTGGCCCTCTTGTCGCGTGGCCCTCTGGACGCTTTGGCCCTCTGGACGCTTTGGCCCTCTGGATGCTTTGGCCCTCTGGAAACTCGGCCCTCTGGAAACTCGGCCCTCTGGACGCTTTGGCCCTCTGGACGCTTTGGCCCTCTGGACACATTGGCCCTCTGGACACATTGGCCCTCTGGACACATTGGCCCTCTGGACGCTTTGGCCCTCTGGACACATTGGCCCTCTGGACGCCTTGGCCCTCTTGTCGCGTGGCCCTCTGGACGCCTTGGCCCTCTTGTCGCGTGGCCCTCTGGACGCTTTGGCCCTCTTGTCACATGGCCCTCTGGACATTTGGCCCTCTGGACGCCTTGGCCCTCTGGACGCTTTGGCCCTCTGGACAAATTGGCCCTCTGGACGCTTTGGCCCTCTGGACACATTGGCCCTCTGGACGCCTTGGCCCTCTTGTCGCGTGGCCCTCTGGACGCCTTGGCCCTCTTGTCGCGTGGCCCTCTGGACGCTTTGGCCCTCTTGTCACATGGCCCTCTGGACATTTGGCCCTCTGGACGCCTTGGCCCTCTGGACGCTTTGGCCCTCTGGACAAATTGGCCCTCTGGACGCCTTGGCCCTCTTGTCGCGTGGCCCTCTGGACGCTTTGGCCCTCTGGACGCTTTGGCCCTCTTGTCACATGGCCCTCTGGACGCTTTGGCCCTCTTGACGCTTTGGCCCTCTGGTCGCTTCGGCCCTCTGGTCGCTTGGCCCTCTTGTCGCGCATCCCTCTGGATGTTCGCCGCATTTTTTAAACTTTGCAGTTTAACTCCTTGATATTAAATTATTTTTCATAAGCAGAATGTCTTTAGAAGTGATGACAGCTTGCAGGTAGCGTCTGTCTCCCCACATAACTTCTGGATCTGCTTTACTGATTGGCTGATGCTCCGGCGTCCAGCAGCAAACGTTCAATTCCCTGAACTTCAGGGTTAATGCTTGGATCCGATGCGGTGTTCCTGATGCTCTGATGCGTTGCCGCCTATAGAATCTGCATGTCCATCAGATGTTAGACCTTAGAACCTTGATGAATAGCTTTTATTCTTAAGTCTGATAATTGGAGTAAATTCCACAAATTCTCTGAGCTTAGAAATGAAGAAGCTCTAAGAAGCTTGATGAATGCGGCTCCTGGGCAATAAGTTAAAGTGACTTAGGCTCTTTGTTCATCATAAAATCAAAGAAGCTGTTTTCAAAGGAGACATAAAACATAATAACTGAACTGTTGCTCTGTTGCTTTGCAGGATTTAAGGCCCTGCTCAGGTATGAGGGCTTCGACAACGACACCAGTAAGGACTTCTGGTGTAATCTCTGCGTCCCTGAGGTGCACCCAGTGGGTTGGTGTGCTTCCAGCAACAAACCGCTTGTACCTCCTAGAAGTGAGCGTTGCTTTTCAGCCATTAGAAGTTGCTCAGGCTGAATGTTGGCTCTAACTTTCCTCTCACCTGCAGGCATTCAGCACAAGTACTCTAACTGGAAAGCCTTTCTTGTGAAACGTCTCACTGGATCCAAAACGCTGCCGACGGACTTTAGTGCCAAGGTGAAGCTTCAGGCCTCGTCTGATGAAGGCCTCCTAGATCAGCTGCAGGAAGCTCATCGTCATTTTCCTCCCTGTAGGTTCGAGAAAACATGCAGTTCCCGTTTAAGAAGCTAATGCGGGTGGAGGTGGTGGATAAGAATTACCTGTGCCGGACACGGGTGGCTCTGGTGGAGCAGGTGATTGGAGGGCGCCTCAGGCTGGTCTATGAGGACGATGGCCTGGATGACTTCTGGTGCCACATGTACAGCCCCCTGATCCACAACATCGGCTGGTCTCGGAGCATCGGCCACCGCTTCAAACGATCTGGTGGGAACTGGAATCATTAAGCACTGCTTTGCAGGGTCAGTGGGGCCCTACAGGAACCCTGGTCCTCAGGAGCCCTGCTGAGCGTCTAGAACATGGCGAAGGGAGGAGCCTCAGAGATCAGCAAATTAAAAGCTTAACTTGGGTCCACAGAGCAGCAGAGGCCCCTTTATTGAAAACTGGTTAACCATGAAATCAGGGAAAGGTTTCTGTTTCATGAAGAAAGTTTCCTCAACCTGTTTCTGTTACCGTGGTAACTCTCCCCGCAGAGCAAACCTGATCAGCAGCAGGTTTTCCTCCATAGACACGGTGTCCTCTGGCTCCGCCCTCCTTAGAGCCAATCACCCTTTATTTCCTGATTAATCTGCAGATTTTTATCCTATTTTCTGTGTGAATTAATCAGTCAGTAAATCTGTTAGGTGTTAAAAGCACAAACATATCGCGTCTTTTAAACGAGGATCCAATCAAAGAAATAAATCGCATTAATTCACTGAGAATTTAGTATTTATAGAGAGAGGATTCTCAAAGCGCGTCTAGATGTCCTTTGTATTCAGAAAGTTCTCTTCCTCAGCGTTTCTCCTCCCCATCCATCCATCAGACTTCCAGACCTGATCCGTCCTCATTAGCAGCAGAACTGGATTATATCAGGGAGAGAACACTGATAACAGCGTTATAGAAATCGCCTATCGAGTATTTACTGAAAGACAGGATTAACCTGAGTAGGAACCAATGAGATGATGAATAGGTCCTTCCTGATAGAACGATTTTATCCTTTACCTGCTGACAGGGGATTTCACCTAAATGGAAACATTGATTCCCCATTGTTCAATCAATAGACTCGTTATGTTATCATGGTTACAACAGACTATGGCAAGCAGGTTTGATATTTATTATTTTGTACGAAAATACATTTCAGATCTCATAAATACAAACTGCTAAATGTCAAAATGCCTTTTAGAATGTGGAAACATCTCTAGGTATATTCATTCTTAGGAGTGTCATTTTATTTTTTAATTTCTGAAATTCAGTTTCTGCTGCTAACATGTAATATCCTTTTTAGTGATCTACAAATGGAACAAGAGAGAGGGGAGTGCTGTTAAATGTTCCTGTCGTCATGGCAAATGTTGATAGTGTCCCTTTAGTGGTGACCAGTGGTTCAGTCACCTGGCACCAGTTGGACCAGTTTGTGCTCACTGGAACCTCTGCTTCATCCAGATGCTTCAATGTTGAACTGATGTTTAATATCTTGGATCTAAATCCAACTTTTTGCTGAGTCGTCTTTACGACTTGTCATGGTGCTGCGTCTCCATGGAAACGGATGAACCATCAGGGTGTTTCACCGTTTTAGTTTTTTTGATGAGTGCCTCTGTTTTCTAACTATTTCAGTGATTTAATCTTTGTTATTTTTGGCTCATAAAAGCTTTTTGTTTCCTCAGATGTCGCCAAGAAAGCTGAAGGTCAGGTCGACGCCCCTGCACAGCTCTTTCAGAAGGTAGCGCCACTAGCCGAAACCCTTCAGTAGAACAAAGGTAGAAAAGCTCTGTTGCTCCGGTTCGACGGTTCCCATGGCGATAGAGGAGGTTGGGGGGGTTCTGGTGACGGTTGGAGTTTGATGCTTTGTGACCTGAATGGTTCTCCTCCTGCAGTCAGGCCCTACTGGTCTGAGACCTGCAGACTGGTTTTAGTCTGAATGATGCAGACTTTATCATCACACTGCAGACCCTGCTGCTGTTGGTCACTAAAGGACAGTGATCCTTCGTTGTCTTTTATCAAACACTTACCACCTCTTCCTCCACCATATCCATCCTGATCTCTTGGTCTCCGGTTTTAGCGGGAACAGCTAAAACCTGGTTTTGGGTGAATTCTTTGGATGAAGTGAGGTCTTCAGCAGGACCGGCTGCAGCTTTAGGGTTCGGCTATGGAGAGAAGACCAGCTCCACCACTGCGCCTCTAACAAACCAGTCCAAGCTGGATATAGCCTGATGTCTCTGGGTTTGGTCAATTAATGGTGTTTCTAGTTTAAGGCTGATTAACCAACAGGCTCGGGGTGGATTGCTACCTGCCAACATGGCCGACAGCTTCCAGATTATCTGTCTTTGGTTAAGGATACCCTGCTTTGTTCCATTTAACAGCCAGTCAGTGGCTGTGTCCCACCATCCTCCCTGACCTCTGACCCCTCCATCACTATATAGATCTGAACTTTATAGTGAACTCCTGTCGGTCACGTAACTCTGCCTCTCCATGGGGTGCCTGCGGCATCTTTGTTAGTCGGGCTGCTGTGACAACAAATCCCATAATGCTTTACGAGGAGAGCTCTCCACGCAAAGCATCTGCTCGTGTATTGACCATAGATGAGCAACACTTGGCAAGGTGTATTGTGGGAAATTTCAAGTGTACTGTTATTTTATCCACTAGACGTTGGTGCTTTGATCTAAAATGGCAAAACCAGTGGTTAGGGAGGACGTTTGGAAGTCAGTGTTTCCTCAGAAACTAGTCTGCTTTAGCCTCTTCGATACCTCAGAAGCAGATCATTTCACCATGTGCTGTTTTCCTCTGTGTTATCCAGGTGAAAGATGTGGACCAGAGTGACGATTGGTTCAAAGACGGGATGAAGCTGGAAGCCATCGACCCCCTCAACCTCTCAGCCATCTGTGTCGCCACAGTAAAAAAGGTCGGCACGGCGACCGGACGTCGGCAAAGCGTCGTCCTCAGGAGGAAGCTCATGCTTGTTCTCTGTGCAGGTGTTGGCAGACGGTTACCTCATGATTGGAATCGATGGCTCGGAGGCCGTGGACGGCTCCGACTGGTTCTGCTACCACGGCCTGTCCCCCTCCATCTTCCCCGTTGGCTTTTGTGAGATCAACAGCATTGAGCTCACGCCTCCTAAAGGTACCTGATCTTGGTGGTCCTGTGACCCGACCCAGCTTTATAAAAAAACACTTTGAGTTTCACTAAGGCCTAAGGGGGGGTCGGTCAGCCTCTGGTAGCTTGAGCCGCCCAGCCGAGCGCTCAGCGCTGCTTCAGCTGACCGGTGTCCATTGCACTTCAATCCAGGACCAGCGAGGCCCTCAAGGGTCCGGGAACACCCGAGGCCGTCGAAGGTCTGGGACCGGCGAGGGTCCGGTTCCGGCGAGGCCCTCGAGGGTCCGGCGAGGCCGGCGAGGGTCCGGTTCCGGCGAGGCCCTCAAGGGACCGGCGAGGGTCCGGTTCCGGCGAGGCCCTCAAAGGTCTCGGACCAGATTAGATTATGCATAAAGAAAACATCTTGTAGTGAAATGAGTGACTGAGGGAGTAAAGAGAGGACGTGCCATGGAGGGAATTTAACAGGTCAGACGTATGATTTCTTATAATTTATTTAATCGATTAATCTGATTATTAATAATCGATTAATAATCAGATAGCTACAGGTTCCTTAGAGAAGAATTTTTGCTAAATTAAACCAGGTGAAACTAAAACTTTTCCACTTGAGGAGTTCTGGATTATAGAGCAGATTTGCAGATATTTTGATCTTAAATGCGAAATGTTTATATATTCTTTTTACATTATTGGTATAATTGCTGCTCTAAGTGGATCCGTCAGCTAAAGGAATGTCTCTGTACTCCAATTAACGATTATTAAATTAGTTGATGATTATTTCAATAACCGATTAATTTGATTAATTGTTTCAGCAGTAATATAATTGTTATCAACACTATTACTGTGGAACAAAGGAGGTGAGACGGTATATAGCGCCATCATCAGGATACCTGCTAGTTCTCATAGCATCCAGCAGATGGCGCCATTCTAAACCATCAGACTGGAGCTTGACATCGGGTTTTAGCCAGTCTAGTGAAAGTGGTTCCTTGGTTCCTTTTGAAATGACATCACTAGAAGTTTCCGGGTCAGGCGCTCCAGACAGCCGAGAAAACGGCGCTTTGCCTCCAGCATCAGAACGATGCAACACGCCATCATGGTAGATTCAGGGTGGAGCTAAGTGACCAATCTTAACCTCCAGGGCAGAAAAATGTCTGTATTAAAAAGGGGAACCTGTGCCTGCAGCGCCACCCAGTGGTGGATCCCATCCAGAGAAAGGGTGAAATAGTGTCTGGAAGAGACGGTGCTGAGGCTGTTGTCTGATGTTCTAACCAATGTTTTCTAGAACCTGTTTGTTGTGGTTCTCTGTTCTCCAGGCTTCACTAAGCTGCCATTTAAATGGTTTGACTACCTCAGAGAAACGGGCTCAGTGGCTGCTCCTGTCAGACTCTTTAACAAGGTTAGACTCTCTCATTAAAACACTTCTTCTTCTTTTCCTTCCTTCTTTCTTTCTTTTCTTCTTTTTCTTCAGCTTTTTTCTTTTTCTTCCTTCTTTCTGCTTTCGTCTCTTTCTTCTTCTTCTGTGGGCTGTGTCCATCAGTTCCTCGCTTGCCTTGCAGGAAGTTCCCAATCATGGTTTCCGGATAGGCATGAAGCTGGAGGCCGTGGATTTGATGGAGCCACGGCTGGTGTGTGTTGCCACGGTGACCAGGATCGTGCACCGGCTACTGAGGATCCACTTTGACGGCTGGGAGGATGAGTATGACCAGTGGGTGGACTGCGAGTCTCCGGACCTGTACCCGGTGGGCTGGTGTCAGCTGACGGGCTACCAGCTGCAGCCGCCGGCCTCTCAGGGTAAGAACACCACCAGGAGATGCACTCCCCACTGATCCAGGACCATCTCAGATCTCAGTCAGGTTCTGTTCATGAACACAGGATCTTAACGATGAGTTTGAGTCGTTCTTTAAGAAAAACTTTGCTTTCAGGTCACAGAGACGCGCCGCTGTCCGTCCCCAAGCAGAAGAAGAAGACTGCTCAGTACAAAGGACAGAAGAAAAGTCAGTGAGCCTCCATCTTCCTCCTCTTCTTGTCTCTTCTCTTTCCATCTCTCCTCTTCCCATCTCCCCTCTTCCCGTCTGGAACCTGCTGGATCAAACCGGTTCTGTCCCATTGGACGCCGTAGACAGACAGCAGCTGAAGGTCTCTGCGTTCTCCACTAGTGAGGAGTTTTTCTCTCTTGGAGATCAAGGTGGCGTCGTTTACTCTTCTTTGCCCGTAGCGCCTGAGAACAGCTGTGATTGGTGGGCGGGGGCGGGTATGGTTCAGCAGGAGGAGCTGAGATGTTCCCCTCTAGTGTTTTTGGGTGGCGCTTTAGCTAGAGACTGTCCCAGAACCAGAACTGAGCTTTGGACCTGTTTGGTTTAGTCAGACGGCGTCTGCAGCCGTGGGAGGTGATGGGCCTCTCCTTCTGTTGGACCTTGTAGGTTCCCCTCATCAGGAGGATGATGGTCCAACTAGAAGTGTCTATGTCCAGAAGGTCTGTTGAACGGAAACGTTCAAAGAGAAACCATCTGGACCTGGTCCCAGTGTCTCAGCGGTGGTTCTGTTTTGGCTCCCAGAACCTGGATGAGCCGTAGATGTTGTGCTGTAGGACATCCGGGTTGGAACCGCCCAGATGGGTCCAGCTTACCAGGGGCCGGTTCAGACAGGTTCGGTTCTTGTTTGTGGTGGGGGCTTTAAACTTCTACTTTCCTCTTGGTTCCACTTGAACGTCTTCTCTGACCCAATGAGCCCCTGGTAGCTGACCCAGTTCTGGCCTGGTGTTTAGAGAGGAGGATCCTGATTGGTGGACGGTCAGGCAGGAGGAGGAGGAGGAGCTTCTCAGGAGATGAAGAGCAGAGTCCACCCAGTTACCATGTCCAGGGGCCTGCGGGGCCCCGGGCCGGCCTCCACCAACCAGGTAACCCCGCCGTCTGGTGCCGGGCGGGGACGTGGAGCACGGACGACCCGCGGAAGAGACGCCCTGCTGGTGGAGGAGGTTCTGAGGTGCTAACGTTCTGCTGTCCCCCTGCAGAGTCTCTGCTGAGGACCAAGGAGGACTTGATGGCCGACGTGGACGAGCTGACCTTCGCCCACGGAACCTCCGACCAGGAGAGCAACGGGTCGGGCAGCTACTACATCAAGCAGGAGCCGTGAGGCGACCCGGTCCAGGAGGAGGTCCGACCATCTGCCACCACACTGAGAAGCATTTAATGAGCCAGTTCTGCTCCGGCCCGGTTTGGGCCTCAGAGCCTGAGGAGAACCTTCTGCTTCTCTGCTCCAGAACCTTCTGGGCGGACCGCGGACCTTTGGTTTGTTTATAGTACTTGAAGCTTGGATTGGACTTTCTGCTGTTTTTGTCTTTGTTGCATTAATGTTGGGATCCAGAACTCGGTGGTTCTGGTCCCAGTCCCAGGTGTACATAGGACCGGTTCCGAGAGCTCAGCTTCACCCCTTGTTTTCAGGTCCGGTTCCCTCAGCATTAATACAGAACTTGCTCTGACACAAATTCAGGCCCAGCTGCTTTCCCTCCAGAACTCCTTCTTGTTTCCATGACGACCGGCGCCGGTTCAGGGAAACGCATCATTTTGATCGCGAAAGGTTCTGAATCAGCTGCTGGGATCAGACACTTAAAAACCGGGCCGCTTCTCCGGATCAGGACCATTTCTGCTGCTTTAGGCAGCATTCAGCATAGATCTATAATAACCAGATGTTTACGCTGTTTCTCTACTACCTCGTGATGCCAGCAGCTCATGGATCAACCAATCATCTGTCGCCTTTTATGCAACGATTCCTGATCCTGACTGACCAGAACCAAACATGGACCCGTTTCAGAGTTATGCAATAACAGAGCAAATCTATTTAGAAATATCCTTTATCCCTGCATTGTAGAACTCTAACCAATAGATCTAGCTGTGATTGTTCTGTTCGAGTCCGGAACCGGCGCCACTCTTTCCTGCTGAGAAATCGAAGATGTTTATATTTGTGACATTTTTTGGTGAGAAAATATATTTCAGATTCTGATTTGTCGGATCTAGTTTTTTATTTGGACCAAGTTTCTGATTCAGAGGAAGAACCTTTCCAGCAGCTTCAGCTTCTGATAAATGTTTTCTATAGTCCTTCCAACAACCTTCAGAACATCGACTGTTAATCCAAAGGAAGATTCCTCAGTCCAGAACCAGATGCAATGATACTTTTTAGCAATAATTTAAAGAGGTTGAAACAAATAAAATGAATTAGTGGTCAAAAAAAAAAAATCTGTAAAGGACAAAAAATTGAGTTTATGTTGATTAACTTCCTTCCTCAGGTCTACTTTGAATTTTTGTGTTTTTCATGGTTCCTGCTTTCTTCTGAAAAACAGAATGGCTCAACTTCCTGTTGGAAGTGGCTCAACTTCCTGTTGGAAGTGGCTCAACTTCCTGTTGGAAGTGGCTCAACTTCCTGTTGGAAGTGGCTCAACTTCCTGTTGGAGTGGCTCAACTTCCTGTTGGAGTGGGTCAACTTCCTGTTGGAAGGGGGTCAACTTCCTGTTGGAAGGGGGTCAACTTCCTGTTGGAAGGGGCTCAACTTCCTGTTGGAGTGGGATCACTTCCTGTTGGAATGGAAGGACTTCCTGTTGGTGGGGATCACTTCCTGTTTGAGACTTTAGAGCATTGTTGGGTGCATCAGAACTGCTTCCTCCCCAGGATCTGATTTTCATCCCTCCTTTATTTGGTTCCCTCCAGCTTGGAGTTTATTTTAGCCACTCAGAACCGGTTTGGACCCGCTTTGCCACGCCCACCTCGGATGAATGTAGAAGGTTCTGGACCCATTTATTCAGACCAACCAAGAACTGAAAACGAGATGTTTTGGTTTGAGCCGGTCAGAATCAGAACCTTTGTGACGCTTCTGCATCTTAAAGCTTTTATTGTTGAACATTTATTATTAGGAGCTAAATTCAGACGGAAACGGGTTTTATTTTGATTTTAAGGCGATTCGTTTCCTCGGCTGGTTTTTCGTTCCCCCTCCCAGATACTAACACGGGTCTTTTGTAGGTAATAGCCCTCAAATGAAATCATGATATGATGGTGCTATATTTACATATATATATATATATACCTATATATATATTTATATTTGATAAGAATGACTTATTGTGTTGTTATTGTCAGAAGATAATTGTTAATTGTTGAGTTTTCAAATAATGGGACTAATGGGAGTAAAAATCTATTTTGGATACAAATAAAAAAAGTGGTAATTTAGTGCTGTGATGAACCTTTGATAGACTTTGTAAATAAAACTATTGTTGGACCAACTTTAATAGATGGTTTCTGTTTTCCTCGTGTTACAAGATGTTCTCCGCATGGCTGTGAAAGTTCATCTGGTGGTTTTTGTAACTTTTACACTGAATAAAGAGCTTATTGCATCCAGTGCTGGAAACCCTGCTTTTCTCTTTACTTCTGCATAAAAGTAAAGGGGGGGGATGGGGGCAGAGGAAGACTCAGGTGGAGGCCCAGAGGAAGACCTGGGGGGAGGTCCAGAGGGAGGCCCAGGGGGAGACTTGGGAGGCCCAGAGGAAGACCCAGGGGGAGGCCAAGAGGGAGACCCAGAGGAAGACCCAGGGGTAGATCAAGAGGGAGGCGCAGGGGAGGGCCAGAGGAAGACCCAGGGGGAGGCTAAGAGGGAGACTCAGGGGGAGGCCCAGAGGAAGACCCAGGGGGAGGCCAAGAGGGAGACTCAGGGGGAGGCCCAGAGGAAGACCCAAGGGGAGACCCAGGACAGGCTGAAGGGACTGTTTCTGGACTGACCTGGGAGCGCCTTAGGATTCCCCCGGAGGAGCTGGATCAAGTGTCCGGAGAGAGGGAGGTCTGGGCCTCCCTACTGAAAATGCTACCCCCGCGAACCGACCCCGGATAAGAGGAAGAAGATGGATGGATGGATGGATGGTCTGTCTGTCTGTAAATCCACATCTTCCATAAAAGTTAGTTTCTCCTCCACAGCTGTGGTCCAATCGGGTCTGTTATGGACCTGTTGGGATTTTTTACCCACCAATAGGAAAATATTCTTCTTATAATTGTGTTGAAATGGTTTCTCACTGCCTGATCTTCAGCCCATATAAAGGCCGCCATTATTTTCACCAAACAGCAGAAACTTGCTTTTTATTCACCAACATCATGTTTCCCTTTTTTGGAGCTGAACTCTAAAAGCTGATTATATTTTTCCATCCAAACTCGTTCCATGTTGGAATACTGAGGTTGTGAGTTCAACACCCATAGCCTGCCATGCTGACTCTGAGCCAGACCCCACACTGCTCCCTGGGTGCCGCACAATGGCAGCCCACTGCTCCCCAAGGGATGACTTAAATGCAGAGGGTAAATTTCTCCATTGTGAACTCACAAAAGTTCATTTTGTTTTCCATTGTTGTAAAATATTTCTCCATCTGCGTTGCCGACTTACTCTGAGCTTCTGCACAGCCTGCTCTATCTCAGACCTGTTCCACCCACCAAGAAGAGTCTGAAATATTTCTAAGGCCCTGAAATCGTCTGTCCTCCTCTAACAGAGATCACTTTACTTTATTTACCCTTTTTCTGTCCACTCCTTAAATATAACATCCATTCTGTTGGGTTGAAAATGCAAGTTATAACCTATTTTAACTCCAGATCCAAAAAGGTTCCTTAACTTGTTTTCATTTATTATCCTGTGCCAGGTTTTGATTGGTAGCTGCTCCTTTAATTGGCTGAATGACCCTGATTGCTATTATTGCTTGTAACCAGACACCACTGGTTGTCTGACTTTCTTTCCTCTTTAGCTTAAAAGATGGATTATAGATGTCGATCTGTTTCTGTGCTGCTTGAGAACAATTTTCCATTTGGGATCAAGTCTCTGAGTATCAAGTTACACGGTAAATCACAGTAAATAAGCGTCCCCATTGGTTTTGTAATTAGTAAATCAGAAATAGGATTAGAAAGCCTGCGCGTTGCACTTGGAGCAGCATAAATGTTTCTAAAAGTAATCCCTGTTACAACGTTCGTCCTTCTTTGGACAGACATAAAATCTGTTTTCAATCGCACTCCTAAAGAAATATTATGTTAACTTCGTCTTTTTCATCTAGCTTAGAATCATACATGTGTTGATAAGACTTAGACAGATTTATTTTTCATTTTGTTTACACAAGTCTAAAACAAAAATAAATTTTGTTTGGAAACAGCTCTCTGGACAATTTCATCTTTTTTAAAAGTGCAGCCTTGAAAAATAGTAAAAAAAAAAAAAAAAAAAAAAAAAATATATATATATATATATATATATATATATAACAGTAATATAAACATGACTGTAAATTTACAGTTCATGCGCTTCTGGGACCTTTTGACCAGTGAGGTGGTGTTTCCAGTCCAGGTGAGGGTGTCTGTGATGTGCACCCCCAGGAATTTGGTGCTGCTGACCACCATGATCTCCTTGGTCTTCTCCACGTTCAGGATCAGGCTGTTATCTCTGCACCACCAGCTGCTCCACCTCCTCTCTGTAGTTCAGGTCGTTGTTGTCTCTGATGAGGCCCACCACCATGGTGTCGTCTACAAACTTCACCATGTGATTGGTCGTGAACCTGGAAACGCAGTCATGTGTCATCAGTGTGAACAGCAGGGGGCTCAGGAAACAGCCCTGAGGGGAGCCTGTGCTTAGACTGATGACATCAGAGGTGTTCTGTCCGACCCGGACTGACTGAGGTCTGTTGGTGAGGAAGTCTAGTAGCCAATAGCAGAGGGGTGTATTGAATCCCAGCTGTTTCAGTTTGCCCATCAGATGCTGTGGGATGATGGTGTTGAAAGCTGAACTGAAGTCCAGGAAAAGCATCGGCATGTGGGTGTTCTTCTCCTCCAGGTGTGCCAGGCTCAGGTGGAGAGCAGCAGAGATGGCGTCCTCAGTAGAGCGGTTCCGTCGGTAGGCGAACTGGAAAGGGTCGAATGTTGGTGGCAGACTGGAGACGAAGTGTTCTTTAACCAGCCTTTGGAAGCACTTCATCATGATGGGAGTCAGTCTTTCAAGCTTTTCTTTCTTTTGATTTTGATTAGCTTGTTAACCAGCCAATATAAGGTCAGAATATAGTTTTTCAGAAAATGTAATTAGTTGACCTCCACCTGACCTGTCTCTGAACATCCGCCCTAACCCCTAAATCCCTCCATCACTTTGTAGAACGGGGACTATATAGTGAACTTTATAGTGAACTCAGTTAACTGACCGTTCAGACAGATGTTCAATGCTTTTTACTCCATTGGTCACATAACTCCTCCTCCACCGCGTGGGGTCTGCACCATCTTTGTTATTAGTCACCACTGTCGGGTAGCGAAACTGAGTGAAATCCATCGATCTCTGTTTATTTAACTAGTATGAATAGTTTAATACTTTTGCAGTCCCCTGACACACACACTGTCCTCCCTCCCTCCTCTGCTGAGAAGTTTGTTTGGATTTCTGCAGGTGCAGAAGTGAAAGAGTACCGAACACTAAGGAAATAAATTTACTGGGTAAGTTTGAAATTATGGAATAATTAAATGATTTGTGAATCTAAAGTTCTTTAAGCTACATGACCTTGTTTTATCTACTATTGTTTGTGAAAGGGTAAGATAACATCTGATCTGTCCTTCTCTCAGCTCCTTTAATTCAGACTATTGGTAACTTTGACTCCCAGTTTTTGTCCACATGAGCTCATGACGGGTCGACCCGTTCCTGGACCATAGAACGGACCTGACCACTGACCTCTGGCCAGACTGGGACTGACAGGTGACACATTAAAATGACCTACAAGAGCTTTTTTCCCTTAGTTAGAGACGGCTTTACAGACGGACCAAGGTGCCTGGAGACCCTCATGGAGGACCATCTCAGCCATCCTTCCATCCTTCAGCACGAGGAGGTGTGGCTCAAAGTCATCAATAGAAAGTGATCAGAGCTCATCTGAGCTCATCAGGAAGTAACCAGGAAAAGCTTCAACAAAACAAATCAGGATAAAGGGGCAGAATAATCCCCTCTGATTGGTTAATTAACACATCAGTAGTCCACCTGATGTGTTGAAGACCAGCTGTTCTGCAGACAACGTTCAAAATGTCGCTTGTATAAGGACCAACATCAACAGAAAGATGAAGACGCCCACCTGAAGATGTCTGACATCAGCTTTGGCTTTTTGATTATTTAATAATACAACATGAATGAGAAGGGAAAGTGTTGTATTTTAATGAACGATGAACATTTTTAGTATCTGAGTGGTTTGATATTAGTTTCTTAATAGTGTTAGATGGCCACCTGATGGCCTTTGGTCAGTATTGGCAGAGATTTCTGGATTAGAGAATGAACTCTGATGATCGGGTCATCTCAGCTACCATTTGGCGGTAGGGATGGAAAGGCTTATAAATTATGGATGATTTGAGAAGTACGATCGCTAATTTCTAATGTCGGACTGCAGTGAATGCAGCACGAGATGAAGCAAGAGCAACTGAGACTGATTTGTTTTGAAAACCGAATGAGGCAAAGCGAGGGAGCCAGGGGTGATGGGGAGAGGAGACACGGGATGAAACAGGTAAAAACTGATTAACTATCTATCGAGAAATGAAATCATAATGAAAGCACAATGTTGCTAGCATAGCTGCAATGCTGATTTTGAGATGATAAAAATCAGGTTGCAGAACGTTATTTCTCTAACTATGTTAGTTAGGCCTGACGTCTCAGGCTCATAAAGACATATTTGCGGTCAACTATGACAGAAAAGAGACGATCAAGTTTGTTTGTACCCAAATCAAAATGCACAAAGGCATTGGATCTAAATACATTAGTGAAGCGTTTTGCTGAGCAACATAGAAATCGCCACATTCAGCTGTTATAGTCATGTTAACTTTATGTTATGCTCTCTGGTGAGCCTTTACAGAGCTGTTACATTTTGTTTTGGCACCTGAGAAAATCTGATATTTCCTTTAATAAAACCAAAAGTGTTAAAAGTAAAGTTAAAAATGTAATAAATATAAATCCTGCTTAATATGAAGCATTGTTGTTGTTTCTTTTTTTGTATATATAGTATGAAACTATCCAGAAATGACCTGTATGAACCTACTCACAACATGTTTTGTACTTTTTCAGACTGGAAGCAAAATGTATTTTTTTGTTGCTTCTTTTCAGATTAGTGGAGATGTTGATGTAACATACAGTACCTGCCTTCAGGTTGATTTGTTGATACAGCAGCTCTATCTACAGCATATCTACATGCATGAAATGTCCCTTTCATGTTGCCTTAACTGCTGTATGTTAAGTTACTGAGGAACAAATGGGGTAAATGTGTGTTCAGAGTAAACAATACATAGATGTCCGGTACCTTGTTTGGTGCCTTGACCCATTTATTTCTACTGTGTAGTTATGCTAACTTTAGTACAGCTCAGTCCATAGATCTCTGATGGGGAACG